CGGAGTATCTTTTACAGTGGTTTGTTTGCATCAGGACACAAAGAAGGACTGTACACTGCACGAAGCCTCTTTTAACCTGAAGTGGATCCCCCTCCTGTTTAAAATTCTAGTTATGTGTCTGCCTTCGGCTTAGGTCATGATCCTGGTGTCCTGGGATCGAGTCCGGCATCTGGCTCCTTGCTCAGCAGGGAGTCTGCTTCTCCCTCTCCCTCCACTTGCTTGCGCTCTCTCTCTCAAATAAATAAAATCTTCATAAAAAAATAAATAAAATATTAGTTACCTGTTGAAACTAGATCATTTGTATTTCCAACATTTTGTGACTGTATCTTCAGGCTATCATTTTTTTTTTTTTAAAGATTTTATTTATTTATTTGTCAGAGAGAGAGAGGGAGAGAGAGGAAGCACAGGCAGACAGAATGGCAGGCAGAGGCAGAGGGAGAAGCAGGCTCCCTGATGAGCAAGGAGCCCGATGTGGGACTCGATCCTAGGACGCTGGGATCATGACCTGAGCCGAAGGCAGCTGCTTAACCAACTGAGCCACCCAGGCGTCCCTCATTTTTTTTTTTTAAGATTTTATTTATTTATTTGACAGAGACCACAAGTAGAGAGAGAGGAGGAAGCAGGCTCTCTGCTGAGCAGAGATCCCAATTCGGGGCTTGATCCCAGGACCCTGGGATCATGATCTGAACCGAAGGCAAGAGGTTTAACCCACTAAGCCACCCAGGTGCCCCTTCAGGCTATCATTTTAAACATGATCTTCTATGAACCCCTCACTCCCCACCCCATACATCCTTCACCTTTTTCCTGTGAACTGGTATTAAGTCTGGAGGTCTGCCTAGAGTCCTCTCCATTTTTTTCGTAAAGGACATGTCACAGGTGGTACCCCCACTTCCTCCTGCATCTCACAGAGACGCAGTGGCAGATGCCCCACTGTGTACACCGAGAAGACACTCCAGGGTTCAGGAGCTGTCACCCTGACCCCCATGTTATAAAGCCCCACCAGCTTTCCTACCTGATGGTTATAGCGGCTGTGAGTGACTGTGACCCAGATCCATTATTTCACTGGGGAAATGTTAATTTGTTTTAAAAGATTTTAAAATTTAAAAAAAAATTAATTTTAAATTTAAAAAAATTCAAAAATTTTTAAGAATTTTAAAAAATGGGGGCGCCTGGGTGGCTCAGTGGGTTAAGCCTCTGCCTTCGGCTCAGGTCATGATCCTAGAGTCCTGGGATCGAGCCCCACATCGGGCTCTCTGCTCCGCAGGGAGCCTGCTTCCTCCTCTCTCTCTGCCTGTCTCTCTGCCTACTTGTGATCTCTGTCAAATAAATGAATAAAATCTTTAAAAAAAATTAAAAAAATGTTTTTAAAGATTTTATTTACTTTACAGAGAGAGACAGTGAGAGAGGGAACACAAGCAGTGGGGGAGAAAGAGGGAGAAGCAGGCTTCGTGCTCAACAGGGAGCCTGATGTGGGGCTCAATTCCAGGACCCTGGGATCATGACCTGAGCTGAAGGCAGATCTTAACGACTGAGACACCCAGGCGCCCCCGGAAAATGTTAACTTTCTAATTCCACCACTCCTTCTGCATTAGCTGTCATCCTTCTACAAAGAAAAATGCTCCTTCATGTGGTTACCCAGAAATACAGTTGATCTAAGAAAGGTGTGTTTTCTTTGGATTCTTTTATTTACGAATTTTTATTTATTTTTTAAAGATTTTATTTATTTATTTGACAGAGAGAGAGAGAGAGAGAGATCACAAGTATGGCAGAGAGGCGAGGGGGCGGAGGCAGGCTCCCCGCTGAGCAGCGAGCCCGATGTGGGGCTCGATCCCAGGACCCCGGGATCATGACCTGAGCCGAAGGCAGAGGCTTAACCCACTGCGCCCCTATTTATGAATTTTTAGAATCCAAAGAATACACCTGGCTGCCTAGCTATTCCCAGAGGTGACTGAGCTTTTCAATATTGTTATGACTGCAAAGACGTCTGCGTATTTGATGTGTATCTAATCCACAGCAGTCATTTCCTTTACGCAGCTGACGTGGCTTCAACCCTGGCCTACGGGAGCCCTTCCAGTTGGTTCCTGTGCTGTTCTCCTGTGACCCTGCTAGTCTCTAAGCCTCCGCACTTGGACACACAAGGTGTCTCAACTCATCCTGCGCTGTTCCCACCTCAGACCAGCTTCTCCAAGGAGCCCAGGTTCCCTTTAGTGGAAAGCACTGTCCAAGCACAAGGGGTACAAACTGTCATAAGGCTGCCACACCAGTATCTTTAAGCTATCAATTTTATTTAAAAGTGTAAAAACTAGGGGCACCTGGTGGCTCAGTGGGTTAAAGCCTCTGCCTTCAGCTCGTGTCATGATCTCAGGGTCCTGGGATCGAGCCCCACATCGGGCTCTCCGCTCAGCAGGGAGCCTGCCTCCCTCTCTCTGCCTGCCTCTCTGCCTACTGTGATCTCTGTCTGTCAAATAAATAAATAAGATCTTAAAAAAAAAGTGTAAAAACTAAGTTTATGGCAACATCTACCTTTAATATAAACATAAATCTCACTAAATACAAATAATAAAATAATCCTACCCTATACAGATATAATATTCAGATTTTAAGAAAAAAATACTTACCTGTTATAACACATGTGCTTCAGAAAATTTTTACTTAAAAATTCCTTGTAGAAGTCAGCCATTTCTTCTGCATCTAATGTTGCTTTTTGGCCTGAAAATTAATTTCAATTTAAACATTAAGATTTAATGGGGACGACCCACAAACTACTATTGATCTAACAGAGGTCAGCAAGGTTGCAGGATATAAGATCAAAATACATACATCAACTGTATTTTTCTACACACCAGCAGTAAACAAGCCAAAAATGAAATTAAGAAAGCAATTCCAGGGGCGCCTGGGTGGCTCAGTGAAGCGTCCAACTCTTGATCTGGGGGTCCTGAGTTTGAACCCCATGTTGGGCACAGTTTACTTAATTGAAACATATATACATATATACATATTGAAGAAAACTATTCCATTTATAATAGCGTCAAAAATAATAAAGGACCCAGGAATAAATTTGAGAGGAAGTGTAAGACTTACACACTGAAAACTACAAAACACAGCTAAAAGAAATGAAAGAAGACACGAATAAATGGGAAGATATTCCAATGTTCACGGTTTTAAAGACTTCACACCGCTGAGATGAACCTGACACACAGGTTCAATAAAATCCCTCTCGAATCCCAGCTGGCTTTTGGCAGGAACTGACAACCAGATCCTAAAATTCATGTAAAAATGCAAGGAAGCTGGGCGTCTGGGTGGCTCAGTGGGTTAAGTCTCTGCCTTCGGCTTAGGTCATGATCCTGGGGTCCTGGGATCGAGCCCCGCATCGGGCTCTGTGCCTAGGGAGCCTGCTTCCTCCTCTCTCTCTGCCTCTCTGCCTACTTGTGATCTCTCTCTCTCTCAAACAAATAAATAAAATCTTTTAAAAAAATAAAATACAATAAAATGTACTGACTAAATCAAGGAGATGAAAATTTGTCCCTGTTTTCTTCTAAGAGATTTTTAGTTTTATCTTTCACATTTAGGTCTTTGACCCATTTTGAGGTTGTGCTTGTATATGGTGTGAGGTAGGGAACCAACTTTATATTTTTGTATGTGGCCTTCAAGTATTCCAGAACCATCTGTTGAAGAGGCTGCTCCACACACAACCACCCGCCTCACTGAACTGATTTGCTACCTTCACTGAGAATCAGCTGCTCGTGAATGGTTGTGGTTATTTCTGGACTCTGAGGCCCGTCCTTGTGTCAGCACCATACCGTCATTTTTTTTTTTTTAAGATTTTATTTATTTCTTTGACAGACAGAGATCACAAGTAGACAGAGAGAGAGGAGGAAGCAGGCTCCCCGTTGAGCAGAGAGTCCCATGTGGGGCCCGATTCCAGGACCCTGAGATCATGACCTGAGCCGAAGGCAGAGGCTTCAACCCACTGAGCCACCCAGGCGCCGCACACCGTCATTTTTTTAATTAAGATTTTATTTATTTATTTGACAGACAGAGATCACAGAGACTGGCTCAGTCAGTTAAGTGTCTGCCTTCAGCTTGGGTCATGATTCCAGGGTCCTGGGATCGAGCCCTGCATTGGGCTCCTTGATCAGCAGGGAGCCTGCTTCTCCCTTTCCCTCTACCTGCTACTCCACCTGCTTGTGCTCTCTCTCTCTCTCTCATTCTCTGTCAAATAAATAAATAAAAATTCTTGGGGTGGTAAGGTGGTAAGGTGGCAAGCCACCACCTGGGTGGCTTAGTGCGTTAAACCTCTACCTTCAGCTCCAGTAATGATCTCAAGGTCCTGAGACTGAGCCCCGTATTGGGCTCCGAGACTGCTTCTCCCTCTCTCTCTCTGCCTGTCTCTCTGTGTACTTGTGATCTCTCTCTCTGTCAAATAAATAAATAAGATCTTTTAAAAAAAATTCTTAAAAAAAAAAAAAAACAACAACATCACAACAACAAAAAAGAATAACCCACTTTAAAAATGGGCAAATTAACTGAATAGGTATTTCTCCAAAAAGCACAAAAGAGACTTGGTGTCGCTAGTCATCAGGGAAATTCAAGTAATAAAGACAGTAAGACGCCATTCACACCCACCAGGACAGCTATAATCGTAGACCGTAATTTAGGGTGGTTAAACAGACAGTAGTAAGACATGATGGGGAGGACATGGGGAAACCGGAACCCTCACCCCTCACATACTTCCGGGGGGAATGTAATACAGGGCAGCCACTATGGCAAGTAGCCTGGCAGTTCCTCAAAAAGTTAAGCACAGAGTTACCATATGACCCAGCGATTCCATTTGTAGGTATGATACACAATCGCTCACAGCAGCAGTCTTCCTAACAGTCAAAAAAGCAGAAACAACCCAAATGTCCATCAACTGATGGACAAACAAAATGTGGTCTATCCACACCAGAGAGTATTACTCAGCCGTAAAAAATCTTTGAAATCCTGGTCCATGCTACAACATGGACGAAACCTGAAAACATGCACTTAAGTGAAAGAAGGCAGACATACGGGCACCTGGTGGCTAAGCTGGTTAAATGCCCGACTCGATTTTGGTTCATGACTTGAACCCACGGTAGGCCCTGCGCTCAGCACGGAGTCTGCATGTCCCCCTCCCTCTGCTCCCCCCACCGCCCTGCTATTCGCACGCACTGTCCCTCTTTCAAATAAACAAACATAATCTTAAAAAGAAAAAAGACAGAAAGAGCGAAAGCAGACACAAAGGCCACATATTATACGTTTCCATTTATCTGGAAAGGTCCGGAACAGGCAAGTCCATAAGGACAGGAAGTAGGTAAGTGGCCATCAAGACCTGGTGGGAGGAAGAAAACAGGAGTGACTGACAGTGGGAATGGGGTTTCTTGTGGGTGATGAAAATGTTCTGGAATGAAATATGGTGATGGTCGCACAATCTTGTGAATGCTGACTACTACTAATTGTAAATAAAATGTGAATTTTAGGGGCACCTGGGTGGCTTAGTTGTTAAGTGTCTGTCTTTGGCTCAGGTTATGATCCCAGGGTCCTGGGATCGAGCCCCGCATTGGGCTCTCTGCTCAGCAGGGAGCCTGCTCCCCGCCCCATGCCGGCCTGCCTCTCTGCCTACTTGTGATCTCTGTCAGATAAGTAAATAAAATCTTTAAAAAAAAAAAAAAAAAAAAAAAAAAACTTTCTACAATCGAGAATACCGTATTTAACTTTTAATCCATAAATAACTGATTTTTAATAATTAACTTCTTGAAATATTTGGAATCTATTTGAATTATAGGGGCCATGAATCCAAATTTACTCTTTTGGGCCAGAAGTAGATTTTCCATCATCATTAATTAGAACAAACCTCCTCCTCCCTCAGTCTGCAGGACTCCTATACTCGTGTACTCTGGTCCCATGGAGGCGACACGCCTGTGTTACCCCCCACGTTACCATCACCGCAGCCTGGAAACTGTCGAAATGCTAAGAGAGTGGGTGCCTCCCCTCATGTGTCCCTTTCCTTGATATATTCTTTCCTGTTTCATTACCAAGTTAATTAAAAGATCTGATTTAAGCCCAACCTTTCAGTACATGGTAATGCCATCAGTAGGAACTCTGTGATATTAATAACAAGACTCAAAACCACCTCTCCCATCTGTTAAGAGAATGGTTATGTCACAGCCTCCCTGACCCTGACGATCCTGACGGCACACTCCTGAGGCTGGCATGCCCCTCCCTTAGCGCTGCGGCAACTGTGACCACAGTCTGGGGCCAGGACAGCACAGGGCAAGCTGAGAGCCACTATGGCAAGGTGACGTCAGACAGGCGCCGGGAACCCAAGTCACTAGGCCAGAATCTAGGCCCCTCCACTTACTGTGTCATTTTGGTTACATACCTTGCCCTCAGGTTCCTCATCTCTAAAATGGCAAAAGTAGCAGGACCCACTTCGTTGGGTCACGGTGGAACTAAAACACGTGACGCAGGCAAAGGACTTAGCGTAGCACCCAGCACAGCCGGGGTCTGAAATTGTAAGCCGTTACTCTCCACTTACTGTCAGGACCCAGCATCCTTTCCCGCCGGCTCCAGCCCGCCAAGACAGCACCTTGTTGACAGCCAACGGCAGAGCCTGCCACCAGTGCGGTCCAGCTTCCCCAGCTCTCTATCCTGAACAGATCCTGGCCAGGCTAAGGATTAGCAGAGAGAGAAGGAATGGCGCTTTAGCCCAACGAGAGACATGGCTTTTAGGGTCAATGGTTTTCTGATTTTCCATGAGAATCACGTTTTGACAGTAGAAATCTGTTTAACAAACAGTATGAAATGTTATTCAGGCCTAACACCGACGGCAAGAGAAAATGATCAAAGTTACTCTGAGCACTGGATCTTCTATCCAGAAAAGAGCAGGCGGCTCAGGGGGCAGAGACCGAAGGAGCACAGCGTTCTCGCCACATCCAGCACACGGCACGGGGGACGAGGTGCGGAGAGTAGCCAGGCAGGGCCGCGGCGGCCTTCAATCTGGACCCAGAGCACAGCCACCATTCTGTAGTCATGCGGAGTCTGAAAACCTAAGCTAAGCAACAAATGTCAAATCTGCACTTGGGGAAGGATGGTCTGGCTACATTGCAGAGTGAATCCGAGGCAGGAGTTGATAAAACTACACCCGCAGGCCAAATGCGGCCCACGGCCCGTCCTCTCGGAATAAAGTTTTACTGGAACACATTCATGCCCATTAGTCTACGTATTTTCCATGGCCACTTTCACACAGCGGCAGAGATGAAGAGCCGAGACAGAGACCCCACACTGCCCAGAAAATGAGACTATTTACTATCTCGCCCTCTACAGGAAGTTTGCCGACTCCTGATTTAAAGACTGGAGGTCACAGAACCAATCAGAAAGCTACCACGGCGGTCACAGAATTAGCAAGCGCCAGAACGAAAGCCATGTATCAAAGTCAGGGAGCGGTCCGAGTGCTGGGAAATGTGCAAGAGGAAATCCTCACAGAGAAATGGAGGGGAGCTCTGAGGAGGACTTCCGTGACGTTTGCGACTCCCAGGGGCTGGTGGGCGCCACCCTGAGCTGAGGTCAGAAGGCACGGAGTGGAGCTGGTCTAGGGGAGAAACGGCGCTCTTCCACAGAAAAGGCTGCAGAACCATGGGACCTTGGGACATAAGTTCAAAGGTCAAAGGGAAGGCATCGATCAGCAAGACCTAAAATCAGGAGAGGGATGATCTCACACAAGGGGAAAAGAGGGAGCAGGAGGAGGGCAGACCCACCATACACACTCAGAGCACCTGTTCCAAAGGAGACCACAACTCACCCCCTGGGTTTTCTCTCCTTCCTCGGACATCCTTTCTTTGGGGGGAGGGGCACGGAGGAGGGGCAGAGGGAGGAAGAGGATCTCTAGCAGACTACCCACGAAGTGTGGGGCCCGACGGTCAGGGGCTGGGTCTCACCACCCTGAGATCATGAACAAGAGTCGGACACTCGACCAGCTGCGCCACACAGGCGCCCCTCACATCCTTTCTTTTTATCTTACGCAGTTCCTCAAACACACACCACGTTAGCAGATAAAGGACAAAGGAACAAACCTGATCCAGCTCTAGGTTCCAGGCCTCTAGCTTTTAATCTCGAGCGAATAAATTCTTCTTTTTCCTAAAAGAAGACAACCATCAGAATGCCCTTTCTTCATCTTGCCGTCTTTCCTGGGCTAGGACGCAGCTCAAAGTGTTCTGGAGATTTCTGAGAAAGGACCCATCTCCAAACCGGTTTAAGCCATCTGAATTTGGTTCAAAGTCCCATGCTTGAAGCACGATTTGAAAACAAGATATTTAATAAACTTTGGGAGGTTCTGTCTGTTTATAAATCCACAGAGTGAGATAAATATAGTCCATCTGACGTAGCCTGCCCCAACAGTAGGACATATAAAGCTTAAATACATTCCTTCTGGATTCGAGCATTTCTACTTCTTTCTCATATAGTTCATTAACAATATGCTGTTAAGAGTTCTGAATTCTCAGAATGAAATCACAGCACAAAAACCTGTATTTTCATAAACACACACACACACACACACATATTCTAGTTCTGGCTCTGCTACTTCTTTTAATACTTGAAAGTCTCAAAATCTTTGATTTTACAATGATCACTATTTCTACGTAGTTACAACACTGACTTAAAATCATATGCGTGCATCCGTTCACATACGCTTGCTGCATGGGAGGAGGCGGGGAGAGAAAGGAGAGAGGGAGCGAGGGAAGGGGGTGGAGAGGAAGGGAGGAGGCAGGACCAAGTGACAGAGAAGCAAAGACCAAGGCTTTAGTGCCCCCATGTGGCCACCCTTGTTCGTTCTTCCTCACGCAGCCTCTGCTCTAAGCTTACCTTACGAAATGTCAAATTCTGGTTTGCCCAGAACTGTTGGTTCCATTCTTGTGTTTCTTGTCTTAACTGTCTTAGCTTTCGTTCCAACGGTGATTCGTTTTCGGGGATGTAAAAGTGAACGGGTCGAAGGTTTGAATGTTTATCTGGGGGTCCTATCCAATCATGGCAAGATTTTCTTGGAGGGCAGAATCCTGAGACCTTTAACAAAATGCACAGGGTTTTAACATAAACTAAATGAATCCCTAGCATTATATAACGAACGGTCTAGACTTATTAAAGTCCCTCATTGGCTTTCTCTGTTTAAGACCATGTGTTAGAGGACATCCAAGTTGAGAGAACCGTAACACTACTAACATGAGCACTGCGCACAGCACGCTCTACCACGGCGCCGGGCTACTTCAGCCCGAACGCAGAAAAACCATCTCGGGCTTACTTTGCACCGTATACAAAACAAACTCAAAATGGGTCACTCTAAAATTATAACAACCTCTAACTTCTAGAACAGTAGAAAGTGTCTACAACCTTACCCTGGGCAATGACTGTTTAGCTACGACACCAAAAGCACAAGCCACAGACTGGGAGAAAACACACGCAAATCTGAAAGAGGATTTGTTCCCAGAATATATAAAAATTTCTCAAAACTCAATAACAAGAAAACAGACAATCCAATTTAAGAATGAGCAAATCAGGGGCGCCTGGGTGGCTCAGTGGGTTAAGCCTCTGCCTTCAGCTCAGGTCATGATCTCAGGGTCCTGGGATCAAGCCCCACATTGGGCTCTCTGCTCAGCAGGGAGCCTGCTTCCTCCTCTCTCTCTGCCTGCCTCTCTGCCCTACTTGTGATCTCTGTCAAATAAATAAATAAAATCTTAAAAAAAAAAAAAAAAGAATGAGCAAATCAGCCAAATAAAACTTTCTTCCAAGGAGATATAGATGGCAAATAAGCACATAAAGCATGGCCAGCATCACTGTCCTTGGGGAAATGCCAATCCAAACCACGATGAGGTACCACCACACATCTTTTTTTTTTTTTTTAAAAATTTTTTTTTTTTTTTTGCCAAACAGAGATCCAAAGAAGGAGAGGGGGGGGGGGGGGGGAGGTAGGCTCTCTGCTGAGCACAGAGCCGGACGCGGGACTCGATCCCAGGACCCTGGGGTCATGACCTGAGCCCAAGGCAGAAGCTTAACCCACTGAGCCACCCACGCGCCTACCACACATCTTTCAATACGGCCAAGACCGCCCCGGAAGTGCCCAGAAACGCTGCAGGGCTGCTGAAGACGCGGGCCACGTGAGCTCTTCCACGTCTCGGGTGGGAATGCAACCACGCTTCATACACAACCCAGTGACCTGCTCCTTCCTACTCATCCCAGACGAACAAATACGCGTGTTCACAGAAATGCCTGTCCCGTCTGTGACTGCTAGAAGTGGCTTTATTTATAACTGCCCAAAGCTGGAAACAGCCTGGTGAGTGGAAAACAAAGCACGGCGTGTCCACACAACGGGTGCTCTTCAACAGCAGAGAACTACATGCAACACACGTGAATCTCAGACGCTTCGTGTTCCCTGAAAAAGCCACATCAAGACCATCAAGACATTGCGTACCAGGGGCGTCTGGGTGGCTCAGTTTAAGGCCTCTGCTTTCAGCTCAGGTCATGATCCCAAGGTTCTGGGATCGGGCCCCACGTCGGGCTCTCTGCTTGGCAGGGAACCTGCCTTCCTTCCTCTCTCTCTGCCTGCCTCTCTACCTACTTGTGATCTGTCTGTCAAATAAATAAATAAAATCTTAAAAAAAAAAAAAAAGACATTGCATACCATAGGATTCTACTCATAGGACCCTGTGGGGAGACAGGCACTGGGGTGGAGGGAGGGGCTGACTACCAAGGAATTTCCTGGGCTGATGAAAACATTCTCTACCTTGAACTGCAGTGTGGTGCACACCTCTGTCAGCAGTGAGTATTGCTGTATATAAACTAGGCTTCAGTAAACTCGGTATTAAAATAAAAAGATCACTTGAATAATCAAAAGACTAGCCTTCCATTTGCCCGTTAAAAGATCAATGTAACCAAAACTCATGGGGAAAATACCACTCAATTTAGAAATCTCTTCTAAACCTTCCTTTCTAAAAAAAATAAATAAATAAATTTATTTATTTATTTATTTATTTGACAGCGATCACAAGTAGGCAGAGAGGCAGGCAGAGAGGGGGAAGCAGAGGCTTAACCCACTGAGCCACCCAGGTGCCCCTAGAAATCTCTTCTACAGTTATTTAAAACAACAACAACACACTACTGACCCTGCCTTCTGCCTCCAATAACAGAGTGTCTCCCATGCACCCTCCCCGCAGCAACAGAAAGGAGCACAGAGGAGTCAGCAAACAATACACAGACTGGAAGAGCCAGGCACGGAAGACCATGTGCTCTGGGACTGCATCGTGCGGCATTCCAGAAAAAATCAGATCAGTGGTTGCTAGATGGGGGGGTGGGCCTCACTCTTTTACTGGGGCGAAAACTGCAAAGATTCGTATTTGTCAAAACTCATCAAGGGGGCGCCTGGGTGGCTCAGTGGGTTAAGCCTCCACCTTCGGCTCAGGTCATGATCTCAGGGTCCTGGGATCGAGCCCCACACTGGGCTCTCTGCTCAGCAGAGAGCCTGCTTCCCACCCCCCCCCCCCCCCCCCCCCCCCCCCCCCCCCCCCCCCCCCCCCCCCTGCCTTTTCATAAACTCTTACAAAAAAAAAACAAAAATTTTTAAAAAAAAAAAAAAAAAAACAACTCACCAAATGGACATTTTAAATGGGTGTATTCATTTCACTGTATGCAAATTACACCTCAAAGTCAATTAAATGAATGCTTAAAACTTACAAACCCCCAAAAAATATCACAACGAACATGATGAACATTCCTCTTCCCTCGGGAAGGCGCTGCATTCAGGGCATCTCAGTACGTCAGGCTCCCCATTTCTAGATGCAAGGAACTAAGAACAGATGCAGGGCTCGCAAATGTTAACCTACAGCAGATTTTTTGTCTATGTGGCTACTCAGTGACAATTTAATTGGGAAAAGCAGAAATAAAAGCTAATCATTTTGCCCACAGAATGTGGCGGGGTTTGATGACGGCCCACCTGGCACGAGCAACAGGGAAGGAAGGAGAGGCCCCAGCAAAAGCGCTCCCGGACGCTCAGCTCCACGTCTCGTCCGCACCCTCCTGTCCCAGTGTGGGCGCACATTCACTCAGGCCCCTGGACTCAGCCCTTGAGAAGTGAGCTGAAGAACCACGTGTGCGGAGTGCCGGGACAGGGTAATGGGGTGACAGCATTAGGGAGGGCACATCAATGTGACGCGCACTGGGTGTTCTGTGAAACTGATGAATCGCCCCCCTCCACCTCGGAAACCAGTAACACATTACGCTGATTCATTGAATTTAAATTGAGAAAATGGTCACTCAAAGCCTGTTATACAAATGTTTAACTTAAATGCATGTCAATGATCACAGATTAAAGTATTATTTCACAGAAAAAATATGCTTGGAAAAGTGCCAAGATAGATGTGCAGATGTTCCTGCAATTCAACATTTCCAGAGCAACGACACAGGAGGCCCCCAGAGGGGTGCGAGGAGGGACCTCAACCCCAGGCCTGCTCCAGGGGGATGCAAGGACTCTGTGGGGGCAGAGGGGCCAGGAGCCTTTCTCTGCTGTGGCTGGGGGTGGATCTGGGGGCTGCAAGCCCGCGGAGTAGAGAGTAGCACGGGGCAACGGTGAGGACTCGGTGGGGCCGCCCCTCACCAGTGAGCTGGTACGTGTTTAAGGGACATGGAAGATCATAACTTGGCTGGTACCAGGATGTGCGGCACACACTTCACAAATAATAATGAACTACGATACTCTTCCTCATAAATTCCACAGCCAATTGATTCTTTTTTTTTTTTTTTAAAGATTTTATTTATTTATTTGACAGAGAGAGATCACAAGTAGGCAGAGAGGCAGGCAGAGAGAGGGAGGGAAGCAGGCTCCCTGCTGAGCAGAGAGCCCGATGCGGGACTCGATCCCAGGACCCTGAGATCATGACCCGAGCCGAAGGCAGCGGTTTAACCCACTGAGCCACCCAGGCGCCCCAAAAGGTATACTGATTCTTACAAACTGTTCTCATCAATCGTTTTAACAACAGCTTTGGTGAGAAATGATTCACATACTATACAATTAGCCCCATTAAAGAATGCAGTTCAGTGTTTCTAGCGTGTTCCCAGAGATGTGCAACCACTGCCAATCGTGAACATGTCCCCGCCCCAAGAAGGCGGCTGTCTCTCCCAGCAGGGACTCCCCATTCTCCTTCCCCAGCTCTTGGCAACCAAAGCCCCACTTTGCCCCTGAATGGATTCGCCCATCGCGGACATTTCACGTACATGGACTAGTGCAGTCTGTGCTCTTTCCAGGCGTCCTTCTCTCAAGGCTCACCCGCGTTGTAGCACACATCAGTACCTCATGCCTTTTTATGGCTGAGGGATACTTCATAGCATGGATGTACACATTTGTTTTATCCATTCATCAGCTGAGGACATCTGGATTGTTTCCATCTGGGGGCTAATTTTTTTTTTTAAGATTTTGTTTATTTACTTTTGAGAGAGCGCGAGCGCGCCCCAGCGAGCACACACACGCACCAGCAGGAGGCGCAGAGGGAAAGAAAGAGAATCCCAAGCAGACGCCCAGCTGAGCACGGAGTCGGACAGGGGCTCGATCCCACGACCCCAGACCACCACCTGCACAGAAACCAGGAGTCAGACAGACGCCGGCGGCCTGCACCACCCAGGCGCCCCTCGGGCGATCACGGCCAGTGCTGCTGCAGCCGCTCAGGTCGACTGTCGCGCGCCGCACACACGGGAGCAGGCCTGCTGGTTCACACGGCTCTGTGCTGTACCTCGGAAACCGCCAAACTCTCCCGGAGCGGCTGCGCCATTTCACGTTCCCTCCAGTGTGCACAGGGTTCCCATCCCTCCGTGTCCTCTGCGTCCTTGTCAGCACTCCTCCGTACAGCACCTCTGTTCTCACCGTCGCTGTCCTCGGAGGCGGGAAGCGCTCTCACTGCCTTCTTTCGCTGAGTTCCGCCGAAATCTATTACTGGCCGGCCCAGGCCTGGGAGTGCTAGTGTCAGTCAGCGCACTTGAGACTCAGGTTACTCGGTATTAAGGACAAGAAAAGGGGCGCCTGG